AAGGAGGAGACATAAAGCTAGATCAGACAGTTTATAATCCAAAAACATGTACTATCTTGAAAGTATTGAGGGAAAAGCCCAGAGACTTAGTCAGGTTAAGGTTGAGAACAAAACAAGAGGCAGGAGCAAGAAAAAAATGAAGTGCAAAGCCAGATGTCAAAGTTGCTTCAAGCAATGGAAGGCATTCAATGCATGGTTTAAATCCTCAGCCACTGAGCCCACACTGCTGAAACTTTTCATGTTCAGTAGTTGCAAAAATGAGGTACTAATTTTGCCTGAAGTATTGGCAGTGTGCCACTTATTCAGAAAGGGCATAGGATTCCATTCCATGATTTCCCATTTCTTGGCACCATGTTGGCCAAAGAGGCATCAGTGCTAGCTGAGCAAAGACTTGAAGAGATATCAGTATTGATGAAGGAAGGAGCTGCATTGATGAATATGTAGGCACAATGCCTACAGGTTCAAGAACATGAAAGTAAAGAAGTAGGATAAATTATTCCTGACAGAGGGTAGACCAGAAAAGAAAAGAAAAACTAAAGTTCAATAGTAGAAAGGTACAAAGAAGAAAATAAAAAACCAGAAAGAGCAGCAGCTTTTACTGCAACGTCATCTAAATTAATGTTTTATGCTAAAGAAGAATATCCTTGTTCAGTAATAGGAAATAGAAATGGTAATAGGCAAAAAAAAATGTTTCAGGTTATAAGGAAATAGAGGTAGTCCTCGACTTACAATCTCAATTGAGTCCAAAATTTCTGTTGTTAAGTGAAACATTTGTTAAGTGAGTTTTGCCCCATTTTACGGATTTTCTTGCCACAGCTGTTAAGTGAATCACTGCAGTTGATAAGTTAGTAACACGGTTGCTAAGTGAATATGGCTTCCCCATTGACTTTGCTTGTCAGAAGTTCGCAAAAAGGGATCGCATGACCTTGGGACATAGCAACCATCATAAATATGAACCAGTTGCCAAGCATCTGAATTTTGATCATATGATCATGGGCATGCTATAAAGATTGTAACTGTGAAAAACAATCATAAGTCATTTTTTTTCAGTGCCGTTGTAACTTTGAACGGTCACTAAATGAACTGTTGTAAGTCAAGGACTACTTGTAGTAAATGCATTAGCAATGCAGTGTCCAGAGAAACTAAGGAAACCTGGTCAGTTGCATGACAAATGTCAAAAAGATACCTCAGAGTCAAAACAGCCAGCCACTGAAAAGTTCACGGCCAGTGTACAAGTGCAAGCCAGAACTGTTCAGGTTCTGCAGCCTGAACAGAAACAGCAGAAGTGATGGCATAGGAGTTTAGTATGAAATTATTACAACAGAATAGAAAAAGCATGTATGGCCATCCTCACTAATGAAGGCTGATCCATCTATAAACAGTTCCCAGTACACATGATCATAAAGGAACATCAGTAACTTAAGGACAAAAAGTAGGATTAGGGCTAAAATTTCACTTTTTTCTTCCTCCACTCCTGGACCATCTTAGAGATATAGCATGTTTTGCTTGTACAAAACAGTATTCACCACTGAAGTTGTGAATTATTATAAGTAAAATTATGCCATACAGTATCATTCAGAAGTTTTAATTCAATTATTACAATTACAGGCCTAGCAGCAATCAATCAATCAATCAATAAAATCATAAAATAAAAATATCCAAAAACAAGTATATGCATGTACAAGTAAAACATAAAACAGTAAAAACAAAAAAAATCACAAATAACTTTTAAGAAGATTTCCATGGTGTGGAAAAGGGGTATTTAAAGATTTGGGGAATGTTACTATATCTCCTTTCTGATATAATTGATGCATGGTATTAAACCTACCTGGAAGAAAGCTTTTCAATGTTACAAACTCAAGAGTTAGTTAGTAGGAGTGGAATGGAATGGAACTCCAATCATTTTCAAGATTAGATTCCAATAAACATTATTTCAAATCCAGATTAACTTATTTCACTCTCTTTTAAACCAGATACAGGGTTGATAGTCCATACATATGATAGTATTCCTTTCTTTCTAGCTGACTATTAACTACCCAAAAGTTAAATTGGCAAAAGATCCCAGATAAAAAATAGGTTTTCATCAAAATCTTAAGCAACATAGACTCAGAGTCACATATGAGGCCCTATTACAAGCACAGCAAAGAATTAGATACACCAAGGAGCTGAAAGTATCGTTCTTAAAATTTTGGAGTTTTGCAAAACTTAAATCTTGGTAAGTACAAATTTGTGACACGTAAAAAGCAGGAAGTTCATTATGCTAGTTTTATAGATGCCAAATAGTGGTAAAGACATAATTACTATCTTTGCTGCCAGCAAACCTTAAAACTACCGTAAATTAGTAACCTTGTGATGCTAGCCAGTAACAGATTGGTGTTCCTTCTAGGAAGCAGAGGATTAAAAAAATAATTCTCAGGTATTTGAAGATTTTAGCTTATTCCATGTAAATTTCATTTATTTCCCAACAGCAGGTATAACTAGCCTGTATTTTGGTTAAACCCATTGCTTTGGTTTTGGAGTAATTAACTTTTTTTCTCTCTCCACAATATAAAGCCAGAGCTTGGTGGCTTTTTGCAGATAAGATAGCTATAGCATCCATATACAGTATTGGAGGACTGAAAAAGTTTTATTAGCCAAATTAGGAAGTTGGAAGTTACTTTTTCAGATCATAGAACTGATATAAAATTGAATAAATGGGAAAAGTATATAGCTTTTTTTAACTCCCTTTTGAGAGGGGACTGTTGCACATCTAATTTGCATTTAAAAAGTTCATTATATTTCATGATCAGAAGCCTACATTTCTATCAGTAAACAAGGAGATCTGTTTTGCCCAGAGGCTGTCTCTAGGAATTGAATCAAAAACTGCTTTCAGGTCAATTAAAGGACATACAGCAGTGATGGCGAACCTTTTAGAGACCGAGTGCCCAAAAACTGTCCCGTCCCACCCCCGGCCCCACCCGCTCTGCCCCGGCCCGCCCAGCCCTGCCCAGCCTGCTCGTAGGGCCACCTGCCGCCTCCACGGCCCGCCGCAGATCGCCCAGTGACCCTGCAGCACCATGACGGCCACACCTTCTGCTTGCGCCCTGCAGCATCATCTGCACGCAACAGGGCACAAGGGCGGAGTCTTATCCCTGTTGCCCCACTGCCATGTGCTTGGCTACGCTGCTCTGTGTGGGGCGCGCATGGGGGTGACTCTCTTCCGGGGGGGCTGCAGATGAGGAGGGGACCACGGGGGAAGGCGGAGCTGGGGTGACGGCACGCGTGCCCACAGAGAGGGCTCTGAGTGCCGCCTCTGGCATGCGTGCCATAGGTTCGCCACCACTGACATACAGTGTGTCTCTTGGATGTTAAGCATGTGTTTCTGCTCCACAGCATAGCACTAAATGTACTCCATAGTGTAGGACTAGGCCTAACATAGTTCATCCTGAATTGAACTAGATTTTCAGACAAAACCCTACACAAGGCTGTTCAGTTTGTTAAAATACTTGGTTTAGTTTACTGAGATACTTAAAGGAGAATATTTGTAGCTCAGGGTTGAAACGAGAGGTCCTGGGTGCTCTCTGAGCTTGCTTGTTTTCTTGCAGACATTTCATTACCCAAACTAGTTAACATCAGACTAGCACTGTAGACTAGCACTGATGATGTTACATAGTTTGGGTAGTGAAACATCTGCAAGAAAACAAGCAAGCTCAAGGAGCACCAAGGACCCCTCACTTAGAAGGCTGACTGGGTGGAAATTTGGGTTGTTTCTCAGCACTTCAGCTTTCACAGTTGCTTTGTCACTGTATCCTAGATAGCTAATTGCTGTCACTAAGAACTTGGACACCAAAGTCAGTCTCTGCAACACAAACGTTAACACAAATAATCCATTCATGATCAATTGCTTCTTCTAGTTTACTAAAGTCACACAATCCCATTCCATCCTTCATAGTTCTGAAGACATTCCTCAAGGCACTGTGCCCAACAGGGCTAGAGTCTGATTGCCTTGATTTATGAGTTTAAATCCCAAAATCAGGACAAAGGGAATAAATGTTCCTCCCATCACCATCTCTATCATTCATTTTAACCCTCTTTTAAATATGCGTTTCATTTTAAAAAAACAGCAAAGAGTATCCACATCAGCATTACACTCTTTAGCTGTTCAGGTCTACTTTTTAGTCCTCAAACTACCCACTCTGATCTAACAGAAGTGAATAGAAAAAAATTGTTACTTGTAATGTTGTGTTTAGAAACCAAATTTGATTCACCTGATCCTTTTTGCATTCCCACTCTTATTTCACAATATTAGCCCATCTTTATAGTTTTAAACCAATTCATTCATTATCTGTGCTATATTTCCCACTGCGGTCAATTTTCAATGAACTAAAATTTAGTTTAATTCATGGCTGTAAAACTAGAGAGAACAAATACTGAAATATCTATTAAAGGGGGGGGGGAAATCTAATGGCGTGCATGATGTTCTTTTGTATTTGCCCGTTTGCTTTCACTGATTCCTCTGGATTTTGCCCACACACCAATAATACCCACTCTCCATACTTCACAAAGCCCGTATGAAGTCTTCCCCCAAAAGTTTCGTGTGAATGCTTGAGCCCCCTTTACCCAGGACTCTTCATTCTATTCTACACCAGAGTACAGCATTGGAAAGCCGTATGCTAGGCGAAGTTTCGAGTTAGCTGGCTCACACCCTTCTTTGGTTTGGCCACATAACTGAAAGGGCCAATTAGCTACGAGCGTTTGGCGCTCAAAACAGACCCAGCGCCCGACCCGCTATCCCCGGGTCTCGGGCCTGAGAGCGGGAAACCCGAGTCGAAGACAGATTGTTTAGACTGAGCTCCCGCCGGGGACAGAACGAGAAAGGCGATTGGTGGCGGGGGAGGTGGGCGTGGCTCCTCGGGAGGAGGTAGGCGGATTAGCTCAGGCGCGAAGTGCGAGGATTGGTGGTTGGCGCGACTGGGACGTTGAGCCGGTGGCGCGCGGAGCGGGTTTGGGAAAGGAGCCCGAAGGGGGCGGGACAGAACACCGAGAAGCGAGCGAACCTGTCATGGCGCGAGTGTCGGTTTTGGGAGTTTCGCTGCTGGAGAATCCGAGCCCGTTCGACCACCCGCTCCGCTTCCAGGTGCAGTTCGAGTGCGGAGAGGCGTTGCCCCACGGTGAGTATCAGGCATTAGGTTGGACCGGCACGCGAAGTCTACCTCCAACGGACCGCCTTCCTAGGAGCAGAGCTGCGGGGAGATGCGTAACGGCGGGAAGATTTGGTCCTAGGATGTTCGGCCAAAAGAGTAGCTGTCCGGCCTCTTTTACAAAGTGGCTTTGGGGACCAAAAAGGGGAGCGTACTACCTTGAGTTATTGGGAAAGAAGTGGGTTTAAATCAGTGTTTCTCAACCTTGACAATTTTAAGGCATGTGGACTTCAACTCCCAGAATTCCACAGCCAGCAATGCTGGCTGTGGAATTCTGGGAGTTGAAGTCCACGTGCCTTAAAATTGTCAAGGTTGAGAAACACTGGACTGAACACCTACTGTTGGGGGGGGGGAGGTGAATTGTTGGAACCGCGATTGTAGTCTTGACTGTTAACTTTATCCCAATCTTTTCATATAAATAATTTTAAATGCTTCTGCCTCCAAGATTTAATAGCACGTTCTTCGTTTTTCAAAAAAAATTTAATCTTCTCTTTATTTGGTGGTGGTGGGGAAGGAGGTATTGATCTTGAGGACTTCATAATAGATATTCGTGCTGGGGATGTTCACAACAAGCTTACAGTACTGCCGTGGCAAACGAGGGCTTTTCTGGCTTTAGAATATAATAAACTTATTATTTTTGGAAGATAGGTGGATTTTCAGAGTACTGTAATACCGGTAATCATGAATTCCTTCAGATTTCAGTTGAATGTTGCTTGTGGCTTATCAGTGCAGAAAGCTTTCAGGTCATTTTATTAGACAGAAATAGTATTCTGTTTACTGTTGGACTGATTTACAGAGCTTACAAACGCTTTTACTATCCGCTCATTAAAAGCTTTATGCTTTATTCTATGTTTTGTTGACAATAGCATTAGCCCTTTCATGCAAGGCAACCCTTCTCCCATTTTGAAGCAATTTTCTTAACCTTGTCAAAAAAATACAAGTCATTGTCTAATTTATACTACTTATTTGTTTACATACAAATACAAAGTAAGACTTTGTCCAATTATAGCCCTCTTTGGAAGAAGCCATTGGGAGTCAGTCTTTTGCTATAGCATGACTTATCAAGTATATGACTTTCCTCTTGTAAAGAAGCCTAGGAAGTACCCCAGAAAAAGAATCTGTAAGAAACATGATAATATTTCCCGTTTTGCATTGCTGATATTCTCATATGATTCTGTTTACATATAACTATAAAGTTAATCATGTAGTTCAGCATCAGCATCAGTTAATACCATGTAGTTCACCTGTAAATAACCTTGAAAATAAGTAGTGTAGTGGCTCACGTGGTTAGGATGCTGATATGATTGGCAGGCTGGCATTTGAGACCCGGTTGCTGCTGCGGGATGGGGTAAGCTCCTATCACTTGCTTCAGCTCCTGCTGACCCAGCAGTTCAAAAGCAGGCAACCATGAGTAGATAGATGGGTGCCTCTTCAATGGGCAGTTTAGTGAGGACATGAAAGGAGCCCCCAACAAGGTGTCTTCTGGGCAGTGGTGATGTCACCGGCTAATCCGTTCAACCTGAGAGAGCTCTTCAGTGCTCCCAACAAGACTGTAGTATTGAAAGCATGAAGGAAATAAATAGAAAAATCTTAACATCTAATACTATATTTTGTTTATTTTCCACATTTTGCTCTGGCCAATACTCCAAGTGGCTGATATAAATTAAACATATTTTAAAATTAATATATAGGTAGGCTTCACTCCCTTCATAAGCTGATCTGACCTACCAGTTTCTCCATGGTTGCAGAACAGCTGTCTAGCTAGACATCTCAGGTATCTCTTTAATCCACATATTATCCAACAGTATCTCCAACAAATAAGGTGAAAAGCTCTAGGTACATTCAGAAACCCGTCTAAATCAGAGGCAGAATATATCTTCTGTAGCTGAGCATTGTATGTAACTATAGTTATATAGATTTTGATGAAAACTAGAGAAACAGGACTAGAGCTGGGAGTATAATCCAGGACTACATGGAGCCCTTGAAAACATTTTTGTAGTTTCTGAAGTCATCTCCAATCATTCCACCAGATTTTGGTGAAGCAGTTGGTAAAAACCGATGATGTATTTTCCCAGCATTTTGACTTTAAAAGACATGGAAAAATCCTGTATATAGATTCTTGTAATTAGAGTTCCTTCACTATATGAGTCAAATGTCAGAGCTGCATCAACAGTCTGTCATAGAAGATTATGCATAGTAGTTACTGATTTTCACTGCTGTATGTATCCAAAGTCACTTAGCTGAGATGAACTGCCATACAAATTGAAGAAAGATTTTATCTAATAAAATGATCATCAAGAGCAGCTCCCAAAAAGCCAATGCTCGGCTACAGCAACATAGGAATACTGTGGTATCAAGATTACGTAAAGTATTAGTACAGCTATATACTGCCTTTGTAAGACCACACTTGAAATATTGTGTCCAGTTCTCGTCACCACAATACAAAGAGTTGAGACTCTAGAAAGAGTCATAGAAGAACAACAATGATGATTAGGGGGCTGCAGGCTAACACATACAAAGAACGGTTGTGTTTGAATGGTTGTATCTAGTGAAATGAAGAGAAGGACTGGGGTGACATGATAAGTCTTCTAATATTTGAGGGACTGTGACAGAAGAGGGAGTGAACCTATTCTCCAAAGCACCTGATGGCATGACAAGAAATAGTGAATGGAAACTTACCAAAGAGAAAAGCAACCTATTCTTGACAGTGACAATCAGTGGAATGGCTTGCCTTCAGAAGTTGTGGGTGCTCCAAAACTGGATGTTTTTTAAAAAGAGATGGACAGCTATTTATTCAGAATGGTATAGGGTCTAATGCTTGAGCAGAGGATTGGCTATTCCCCCAGCTTGGTTTCATTTGCAAATTTGATGAGTTCCCCTTCTATCTCATCTAAATAATTTATGAAGATGACGAGTACTGGGCCAAAGACGGAACCTCAGGGTACGCAATGCATGCTTTCCTTCATGTAGATGTAGTTCCATTGAGGACTACACATTGAGTGTAGTTGGTCAACCATCCCACATTTTTCTAGCTTACCAAGAAGTTGTAGTCTATTTATCAAATGCCTTACTGAAGTCAATAAGAGCAACATCAGTCTTGTTCTTACAGATGTATAACATCCCCAAACACATTAATTCAGTGATTTGTGTCAATATTTTCGCTTTGCAAGGGTGGAGAATGGTGTATTTCTCTCAGTGATTTAATATTATAGCATTTATAATCTTGCAATTGTATCCCTGTTGTTTTTATCTCTCAGATTTGGAATGGAAGATCATCTATGTGGGATCTGCAGAGAGTGAGGAATATGATCAAATTCTTGATTCTGTACTGGTAGGACCTGTTCCAGCTGGGAGACATATGTTTGTGTTTGAAGTAAGCTCTATGTTTTTTTTATCTGGAAAAAGAAGGAAAGCAGGGACGCAGCATGAGTTGGCAAAGAAGTCTAATTATTTGCAATGCTTTTTAAGTAGAAAAGTGGGATTAAAATATTCTACAAATACTTGAAAATTAATTTATTTAGTATTTCTATTAGTAATATTCTAGATGAATATGTCCTAAATTCCATATACATTCAATCATAGCTAAGCAATTCAGTGAATGCTCTATATGGAGAAGTTCTGAGGTCAACGTTTGATATCTCAGAATAAGGGCCAGGAAGGATTCCTATTTAACACCATAGAAAACTGCTGCCAATGTTGATAGTGCTAAATTAGGCCAGAGGTCTATTTTGCTTCCTTTGTGCTAAAATCCAGTGAGATATGTTGGATACTATATCTGATTTGGGCTATTTAGGAATGGATTTAAATCTTTTAACATAGGAACTGTTGTGGTTTTGGGGTTTTTTTTGTGTGTGTGATTATGGCTTGCTATTAATAAAATGGAGAATTTGTTTATGCTTCATATTTTTTGGAAGAACAGCAAGATTCAAATGTCATTGATCTGTTTTCTGTTTTTTTCTGTAGGCAAATAGTCCCAACCCTGATCTAATCCCTGAAAGTGATGCTGTGGGAGTTACAGTAATACTCATTACTTGCACCTACCTTTGTCAGGAGTTTATCCGCATTGGGTATTATGTGAACAATGAATATATAAATCCTGAATTAAGGGAGAACCCACCTCTCAAGCCAGACTTTTCCCAGGTGAGACATTAATAACACATTGTGTTTTTTTCAGTTTAACGCAACAACTCTTCATCCAAATTACAGTACCTACTCCCTAGAAATTAGGTGAAGGAAAATTGGCTGGTATAATTTTCTGAAATATGAGGAGTCAGGTGGGAAATTATAAGTTGTTTTGCTTATCTGATATAAAAGGCCCATTGAACAAATATATAATAGTTATTTGCATGTCTGTTTAGGGAAGTATAGTGAACTAGGCAACCCGTGATCCATGGGTCAAGACTGAGTGATACAATGCAAGCGCAAAGGGACTGGTGGAGGGTGCACGAGTTGGGGAGACTTACCCGAGCTATTTGCAACCTTCCCTGCAAGGTTCCCTTTTGACTTTTTCCCTGCAAGCTTCCCAGAAGGGAAATTGTAAGACCAAACTCACTGCTATGCTCCTGCCATCAGCCATGGTCACAGAATCCCCATTGACTTTCTCCCTGCAGGCTTTCCGGCCTTCCCCATTTATTTGTGGGATGGTATCTAGGAACTTTGTAAATGAGGATCATATATTATAGTTTCAGAGATATTTCCTTACTTAAAAAGAGAAACAGAATGACCACAAGCTAGCGACTTGTTGGCTTTCTTACTGTGGGAAGATGGCAGTGAGTATTGGAAATCTTCCTTCTTCCTTTCTCTCCTCCCTCCCTCCCTCTTTTCCTTATTTCTTCCTGCTCCTTTTCTCTCTTCCTCCCTGCCTCTTCCCTCCCTCCCTTCCTCTCTGTTCCTTCTTTCCTCCTTCCCCTCCCTTCCCAGCAGACAGTTAAGTGGCTGTTGCTGTGTGGGGGAGGAAATGAGGGATTGCCCAAGTTGCTGGAAAACTCACAGAAATGAGGATCACAGGACTGCAGCAGTGCTGAAGCAACCACAACTTTCCCAAATTTCATTCCCTCGGGAGTAACAAATCCCGGCATCCTGTAAATTAGCACATTTCAAGCACCTTTGTCTACAGAGTTTTGCTGTATGATGCAGTTTTTTTGCCCTGTTAAAGGTTACAGACACAAGAGTTTTAGTAATATATAGATTTTTATTAAAATAGAACATGTTTTGAAGAAAATAAAATTCAGGCAGTCCCCAAATAGCAGCTGTAGCTAGTCAGTAATTCTTGAAATCAGCAGTTATGTAGTATTGGTGAATACACCATTATAGAGAAGCTGTTATACAAATTAGGATCCCAGAATTTGGTCAGAGGTGGTTACAATGATTTCAGCTCAGTATCAATTTACTGTATGCTTCCTAGACAAATCACTATGCCTTGAATAGGATGCAGAAAAATATATAGTCCTTACAATACGGAATGAATTTTGATTTTCTTTGAGCCACAGCAAATATTTTTTGTGTGATTAAATGATTTTGCTTGCTAAATACTAAGAGAAAGATCTTTAAATCTCAAAGTTAATATCAAGTGTTTAGTGATCATCTTAACAAAGTAAAGGAACTTAGTAATTTAATTGAGGAAAGGATACACTCTGACAAAGACATTTAAAGCAAATTGACTTGTTGAGATGGAGTTCAATATTCAGAACAGAAAGCTGAATCTGCAAAACATGCACATCTCTTGCACAGGGATTACTTTGATGGAATACTGTACAGTAGTAAGAATTATAATCAGCTTCTATTTGTACTTGTATTTCTATTTATAAATATATGAGAATATTTGTAGCTCAGGCTTGAACTGTGGGGGTCCTTGGTGTTTTTGGTGGCTTTCTTGATGTTTCATTATCAGACTAGTACAGTAGCACTGATGGTATTACCTAGTTTGGTAATAAAATGTCTGCAAGAAAACACCACCAAGCTCAGAGAGCACCAAGGACCCTACGTTTATATTCTACATAATGCTGATTATTTTTCTGCTGCTTTTCTAGTTGCAGAGGAATATTCTGGCCTCCAATCCCCGAGTCACCCGTTTCCACATCAATTGGGATGGTCCTAAAGATCAGATGGACAATATTGAAAATGTAGAGCCGGAGCCTGATGGTTTCCTATCTTCTAGCTGTGCCTACATCAAAGGATTGATCCCTTCTGCAGGCTTGCAACCTGAAAATTCAATGGACTGCATATAAAACAGGCAGAAGAATTTAAAGATGCAGAAAATTGCAGCTAAATGAATTATTTGAAAAATCTGTGAAGAGATATGGATTCTTATGGCCAGTAAAGCAATGGGAGTCCTAATTGTTACATCTGTGTAGACAAACATATCAGAGCTCTTTTCATATCTGGATTTATAACAAATGTGTCTTCCTGATTATAGATTTGTAATTCTGTCATTATTTCTTGACTGAAACTTGGCTCCTCTTGTGCTGACTGCTTATGAACACTTAGTTGACACAGAAAAATCTTGTGCCATAATTCCTGAAGACTCAGAACAGTGGGAACTAACTTATTATTTTGATCATCCATTGCCTAAAAGTGGGCACAGCAAGCACTCTCATTTCTGGACAGTTTGAATTTCTTTCTTTTTTTTCTGTTAGTACAGAGAGCTGACTCTTGAGGACATGCTTTTTTAATAAATGACCAGATACATCATAGCTGTTACTTGGTTCCAGTTTTATAACCATTTTCTTCTTGGCTTCAAAGATACTTGCCTTGCATCTTAAGATTAGGAAAGTTGAGTTTTAGATGAAAGCTCTGCTGGTTATATAGCTGTCATGCTGCTGCTTTTGAGAGTGTTCTAGCATGCCACAACTATTTGCTAGTAACCTCAAAATGATTTTTCCAACATCTGAGTCAGCAAAAATAGGCCAGTGCTGAACTTATGCATCTTTTTGTATGCATCTTCACCTGTGGTCTTATAATAACTGCACTCTAAAATGCTACTTACAGTTTATACAGGCACTTGTAATTAATAGATACTACCTGTCCTATCAAAAAGGAAACCCCATCTTAAGACATACAAACAGTTATGCAGGCGCTTATCATACTATATTAAGTGCCTGTATAATTGTTTGCACCTCTTAGGATGGGGTTTCCTTTTTGATAGGACAAATTTGTATTTGTTATTTTTTACCTGGCTTACCGGTACTTGTTTTCAGGGATTACATTCTTTCGTATTTGACTATTTACTTGGCATATGATAAATCTATCCTGCATAGGACTCTTTTATGAAAAGGATTTTCAATAAAAATTGTGCAAAAAGCTTACAGAATTTACATAATAGTATCTCTGGGCATAAAATACGGAGTGTCTCCTCTTTGATAAGTTAATATTTAGTGAAGTTAAAACTGATGCTGGTTTTTTTTGTTTTGTTTCTTTAAAGCAAGAGTGGTGAAATATATTTCAATTTTTCTGGGGAAAGCTAACCTAGTATATGTGGGACTTAGCCAGTTGTCAAGTGGTATTGATTTTTAAGTCAGCTAAATGAGGACAGGTTTTTCCTTTGAGGTATTTAACTTTCAATGGCAAAGATTCCTAGATCCCCAGAAGTTGTTAAAAACAGAATATTATGTTCAAATTGCAGTCAGTATTTGCTAGGTTAATGCCTATTTTTATTTATATATATATATTTTAAAAAAACCCTTTGCCTTAGATCAGACATAATCCAAAATTATATTTTGGATATAAGCCATTATGTTTTGTGCAAGGACACTAAAAGCATTTTATAATAAAACTATAAAATATAATTTTTGAAAGCAAATATAAGCAGCAATATAACGTAAGTAAGATTAGACAGAGCAAAATAAAGATTTAAAAGAAACAGACATGAGGTCTTGGAATAAAATGCCTGATTTAACAGATCTATTCATACTTAAAAATACTGAGATGTCATTATGAAGACTTCTGTTCTTGGTACTAGAAAAAGTTCCTGAAATCGGATATTCCCTTTAAGATCAGTTGGGACATTAAACCCAAGAGGTACTTCTGTATAAAATATAAAACATGCTTTATTTTTTGTGACCATAGTTTGAGAATATCAGCATAATTATACAAATACATTCAGTTTCAGTTGAAACAAAAAGATTGTCAAATACAGAAATTGAAAATGCTACAGGTATGTAAATCTTTTAAAACAGAATCACATATAAAAAAAATTGACCAAAATAAGGTAGAAAATGGGAACCAATGGGCTTCAATGTGGAATAAGCCTCAGCTTTGAACTCTTTGATCTTATTTTGAACTCTAGAGATTCTAGGATTTTATCTGCCACAGACTATTACTTTGAAACAATATGCTGTATGCTATAAATGTGTTATTTTTCTATTATGCTTCATTTCTGCCACTTTTCCATTGTCCCATTCATTATGGCAATTTTGTTATAAGCTGTCCATCAAAAATTCCATCAGTTTTTTTATACCAAATATGGCCAGAAAAGACCCTACTCTCAATATATTAAGTGAAACTACACTGCTCAGTTACTGAAAGATACTGCTTTATTACCTTTATAAAACAATTGTGCTGTGCACTGCTATGTATTAAGTTTTCTTCAGTGTATTTCAGGATGCTGAACAATAGTTAATATGAAATATAATTACTTTAAAGGTTGTTCCTTATCTCAATAGCAAAGACACCTCTATGAAAGACAGAACTGGTTCAACCTCAAAAATAATTGAAGAATCTCTTTAGATCCAGGAAGCTGGATATTCATCTAAAATTATTACATTTTTTAAACTGATAGTTCCTATGTGGAAGTAAGAAAATGCAGTCCTGATAGAAATATTAACTTCTATTCCTCACTGAAATATATGAACAAGAACCAAACTTCAATACTTTTTTTTCAACTTATTTTCTTTAAAAATGCTTTTTTAAAGAAAATAGCCTGCTTTCTATTAAACAATGGGGTAAATATATCTGATTTATGCCATCTATAGCTTTTGTAGTTTCCAGCTTTTATAATATAGGCAAGCAAACAACCATTGTTTTGCTTTCATTCTTGATAATATAAACTCTGGGTTTTTTCTGAATTTGTGCTCCCCTGAGAAATAAGAATATTTCTTGATAGGATTCTTATGAAACCTTTCAATCTACTTCAAGGTTACTTTCTTTTTAAGCTGTTTCCAAATGAAACGAGCTACAATGGGGGAGAGCATTCAATCATACATTAGGAATGAAAATAGAGAAGTGGAAAGGATTGAGGGGTTTCTGGAAAAGTCTCTTATTTTTATGTAGGTATTTTCCATTCTGCTACAGTAATGATAGGGTGGCCCCACAGTGCTAAAAACAAGCCAATTATTTTTTCATCCATGTTGCATACAATGGCTGGGATCTAATCATTCTGGCGGTTCTTTTCCCCAAGGGATAAAATAGCATACGCACTGCAGAAAACAGGATATTTTTTTCCTTGTTAGATACTATCTGGCATCATTACAATATATTGTATAAATCTCTCTTGAGCAACAGCAGAATTTCTCCCAATCCTTTTATCCTATAATAAAGACACTTGTTTATTCTACCAAAAATATAGTAACATCAAAAATATATAAATGTTGAATTTTTAAAATGCTAACGTTATTCAATTTACAGATATAATACTAAAAACAAAACTTCCAAATTGTAAGATAGGTTATATCACTTTTTACATGATCCAGAACTCAGAATGTTTCTGCTACTTCAGAGCAGTATGAGGAATCTGCAAGATGAACTAATTTGCTTTCTGTATTTCAAAGGAAAAAAAATCACATTTGCCTGTTTGCTATATTTAAAATACCTCTTTAGATTCAAGTTATTATTTAGTGTCCACTCAATAGTGCATCAGAATCTTGTTTCTCTAACTAATCTCAACCTAAATTTGTTTCCACAAAATAAAATGCTTTTTGTTAAGCAAACATAGAAATATTCGTAGAAATAAATGGAACAGAGTTCTAAACAGATTTCTGGGGAAGGAAAAGCAAACCAAAGACACTCAGTTAAAAGTGGAACCAATAACAGCAGAGTGAAGACCTGGCAAGTAGAACAGCTCTTTATAATTCTTTTCCAAATAAGGAGAGGACTTGAGACCACCCATAAGTGCTCCAGAAAGTTGCTCCTCATGAGATTGTAAGTCAGCATTCTCCAGTGGATTTAGAGCTTTAAGAGATAAGGAAAAGCCATTTTCACTCAAACCACGGTGCCTTTAGGGATACTAGTTTTGCATACAGATAGTCCTGTATGTACAACAGTTCGTTTAGTGAACTGTTCGAAGTTACAACGGCACTGAAAAAAAGTTACTTAGAACCATTTTTCACACATAGGACTATTGCAGCATCCCAATGGTTACATGATCAAAATTCGGACACTTGGCAACTGACTCATTTCTGACAGCTGCAGTATCCTGGGGTCACATGATCAACTTTTAGGACTTTCTGACAAGTCAATGGGGAGGACAGATTCACTTAACGTGTTCCTAACTTAACAACTGCAATGATTCACTTAATAACTGGCAATAAAAGTAAAACATGGCAAAACTTACTTAACAAATGTCTCACTTAGCAACATAAATTTTGAGTTCAATTGTGGTCATAAATCGAGGGCTATCTGTACCTTTTCTGATCACTCTTGGAAATTGCTTGTTAACTGATTTTCTTTTATTAGGAATCTTTAAGATAGATATGTTTACAGCACCAGGTGAGTTTTCTTCAATCCTTAGCAAAAGAAGTTTTCAATAAAAGTTTAAGGACTTAAAAAAATAATAAACAGCAAAAGGATTATTAATATATTGATTCTTGAATGTTACAAATGTAGTAAGTCTAGATGGATTTGAAAAATGAAGGAAAACCAGAAGGAGCTAAAGATTACAATTAAAGGAGAAGAATATTTAAATCTGACTAATAAAAGAATGGAGCAAAATACTTTAATATTAAATGTACTGGAGGATATTTTTGTACAATGGATGTAGAAAATAATTTTAAGAGTGTCATAGCTAGACTGTTTAAAAGTTACTACAGAAGAGGAACAAGTTATACTGGACAAAACTGAGACTGATCTAAAATGGGTTTTAAAAATGACAGACTACAGAAATAATATGGAAAAAGATGCTACACTGGATATACAAATGAAGTTGGGTACTGTCTTAATAATTAAAAACTATATAGAAATAACAAACCAAAAGAATGACATGAATAATTTTCTCACATTGGATTTACAAAAGAGGTCTTGTGACCTTTAATCATTTGTATATATCTTAGATACCTGATTTTTTTTCATCAAAATCTGTTAGCAAAATTCTAATTTGAAAACTTTGATCAAATAAGTGAAGAAAATGTCTTCTACTGCTATCCCTGACTTACAAGTGTATATTCACCTTCATATTGTATTTCAGATTACGTGATATTTTTTCATAATCAATAATCTTGATTCCACTCACAAACTTAATAGAGGAACAGACTCAAAGTTGGAGAAAGATGATAGGGTTTGCAAGATAAATGCTTTCTAATTGGTTTCTGAGCCCAATTCAAAGTTCTGATTTTTTTTTTTCTAGATGATCTTCAGGACACATGATAATCTTCTCCTTTACAATGTAAATGACCCTGAAATTGTCACAGGTCTTTTAAAATTTCTCTACAGCCAAGCAATAAATCCTAATCTGTGTTCCAAGAAGCTACTGGA